TTTTTTTTTTTTTTGAGACGGAGTTTCATTCTTGTTGCCCAGGCTGGCATGACCTTGGCTCACCACAACCTCCACCTCCCAGGTTCAAGCACTTCTCCTGCCTCAGTCCCCCGAGTAGCTGGGATTCTAGGCATGTGCCACCATGCCTGGCTATTTTTGTATTTTTAGTAGAGATGGGGTTTCTCCATGTTGGTCAGGCTGGTCTTCAACTCCCGACCTTAGGTGATATGCCCACCTCAGCCTCCCAAAGTGTTGGGATTATAGGCATAAGCCACCACTCCTGGCTGGGTCTTACTCTTTTGCCCAGGCTAAAGTACAGGGGCACGATCACAGCTCACTGCAGTTTCGACCTCTGGGGCTTGAGCCATCTTCACACCTCAGCCTCCTGAGTAGCGAACAGCACAGGTGCACACCACCACGTCTGGCTAATTTTATCTTTTGTGGAGAAAAGGCCTGACCATGTTGCCCAGGCTGGTCTTGAACTTCTGGGCTCAAGCAATCCTCCCACTTCAGCCTCCTGGAAACCTGGGACTACAGGTATGTGCCACTGTGTCTGGGCACAGGATTCACTTGCTTTTCAACAAATTGCAAAAGGACGTCACAGAGTGACAGAACTGAGATCTGATCCACGTGTCTGCAGAGGGTGTAGCTGCCAGACCCTGTGGTGATATCAAACGTGCAGGTGGGTGGTTAACTTGGGTTCTGTCCCTTAGCCCTAGTAAGACATGCAGGGGAAACCCCTTTCCCTTGCTGCTTGGCCAGCTCTCTGGGGACACAGGAGCCAGGTAGTGCAGGGGAACAGGCCCCAGGGAAAGCAAGGTGAAAGGGAAAAGACTGGACGAGTAGTCCCAGCTACTCGGGAGGCTGAGGTGGGAAGATCACCTGAGCCCAGGAGTTCAAGCCTGCATTGAGCGGTGGTTGCCCCACTGCACTCCAGCCTGGCCAACAGTGAGACCCTGACCCAAATAATAATAAATAAAAATACAGGCCAAATGCGGTGGCTCACACCTGTAATCCCAGCACGTAGGGAGGCCGAGGTGGGTGGATCACCTGAGGTCAGGAGTTCAAGACCAGCCCGGCCAATATGGCGAAACCCCATCTCTACTAAAAATACAAAAAATAGCTGGGCATGGTGGCAGATGCCTGTAATCCCAGGTACTTGGGAGACTGAGGCAGGAGAATCACTTGAACCCAAGAGGCAGAGGTTACAATGAGCCAAGATCATGCCACTGCACTCCAGTCTGGGTGACAGAACAAGACTCCCTTTCAAAATAAATAAAATAAAATAAAAATACAGAAGGAAAAAGAAATGATAGCATGCAGAGAAGCCCATAGAGGAGAGAAACAATGAAGAGCTTCCTAGTCTGGGGGTCCTCAGAAGATGGGGCCCCACAGGAGGGGACTGGTCTTTCTGTGAGGCTCACTTGAAGCCAGGAGTTTCTTTCCTTTTTTCTGATGCTTTGGCTTCTTGTGCCTTGCTAATGCCTCTCCCCGAGTTCCCTGATTTCTTCAGGGTTAGCTAATTTGTTCAAGAGTTTGCAAACAACTGGCTTGTCCAGGAGCACACGGTTCCTATGCAAGCTCACACCCCACAATCACCTCCTTTGCAGAGCTGTGACACCCTGAGCCTATTGCCCTGACCTGATTACTTTAGGGTCACGTGCTAGGCACTTAGGAAAAGCACCCATGCCCCAGAGCCTGGAGACATTGTTCAAACCAGCCCATGGCAACTTTCATCTGCCTCACTGTGCCTCTCCCAGGGAAACTACAATAAAGGTTCTTACCCATGTTTCCTCCTGCTCTTTTTTTTTTTTTTTTTTTTTGAGACAGTGTCTTGTTCTGTCACCCAGGCTGGAGTGCAGTGCTGCAATCTCGGCTCACTGCAACCCCCGCCTCCCAGGTTCAAGCAATTCTCCTGTCTCAGGCTCCCGAGTAGCTGGGATTACAGGTGGCCACTACCAGCCCAGCTAATTTTTGTATTTTTGGTAGATGAGGGGTTTCACCATGTTGGCCAGGCTGGTCTCGAAATCCTGACCTCAGATGATTCTCCTGCGTTGGCCTCCCAAAGTGATGGGATTACAGGTGTGAGCCACCACCCCTGGTGTCTGCCTCTCTCTTTGTAGTGCAATCACAGCTCACTGTAACCTTGACCTCCTGGGCCCGAGCAATCCTCTCACCCCAGCCTCCCAAGTAGCTGGGATCATGGGGCATGTACCATCATGCCCAGTGAATTTTTACATTTTTTTGTAAAAATAGGGTCTTGCTACATCACCCGGCTAGTCTCGAACTCCTGGCCTTAAGCAATTCTCCCACCTTGACCTCCCAAAGTGTTGGGATTACAGGTGAGAGCCTTCTGCTACATTTTAAAATAAGAAGCATGGCCGGGCGCGGTGGCTCAAGCCTGTAATCCCAGCACTTTGGGAGGCCGAGGCGGGTGGATCACGAGGTCAAGAGATCGAGACCATCCTGGTCAACATGGTGAAACCCCATCTCTACTAAAAATACAAAAAATTAGCTGGGCATGGTGGTGCGTGCCTGTAATCCCAGCTACTCAGGAGGCTGAGGCAGGAGAATTGCCTGAACCCAGGAGGCGGAGGTTGCGGTGAGCTGAGATCGCACCATTGCACTCCAACCTGGGTAGCAAGAGCGAAACTCCGTCTCAAAAAAAAAAAAAAAAAAAAGAAGCAGGTCAGGCATGTTGGCTCACACCTGTAATCCCAGCACTTTGGGAGGTTGAGGCGGGCAGATCACCTGAGGTCAGGAGTTCAAGACAAGCCTGGCCAAAATGACGAAACCCTGTCTCTACTAAAAATACAAAAAATTAACTGGGTATGATGGCAGGCACCTGTACTCGAAGCTACTCGGGAGGCTGAGGCAGGAGGATCGCTTAAACCCAGGAGGTAGAGGTTGCAGTGAGCTGAGATTATGCCACTGTACTCCAGCCTAGGTGGCAGAGCAAGATTTCGTCTCAAAAAAAAAACAAGGTTCGGGTTGAGGTGGCTCACGTCTGTGATGACGTCACTTAGAGAGGCTGAGAAGGGAGGATCGCTTGAGACCAGGAGTTTGAGACCAGCCTGGGTGACATAGCAAGACCCCATCTCTAAATATAAGATTTTTTTCAGCCAGGCATGGTGGCTCGTGCCTGCAATCCCAGCACTTTGAGAGGCTAAGCTGGGTGGATCACCTGATGTTAGGAGTTCAAGACCAGCTTGGCCAACATGGTGAAACCCTATCTCTACTTAAAATACAAAAAATTAGCTGAGCGTGGTGATGGTTGCCTATAATCTCAGGTACTTGGGAGGCTGAGGCAGGAGGATCACTTGAACCCAGGAGGCAGAGGTTGCAGTGAGCCGAG